CTGGGAGTTCTAGTCTCCCTTTAGGCATGAAAGCCAGCTGGGTGACTGTGCCAATCACCAGGTGACTGGGAGTTCTAGTCCCACCTTAGCCGTGAAAGCTGGCTGGGTTGGGCCGGTCCCTCTGTCTCAGCCCAACACGCCTCACCCGGATTGTGGTGGTGGGGAAAAGACAAGGAGGAAGGAGTATTAGGTAGGTTCACTGTTCTGAGTTACTCAAAAGAAAGGCGGGATTTAATTTAAAAAGAAAAACCCCAATAAATAAATAATAAAGTCAGTCTCCACGAGCTGCTTTAAAGTCTGGGAGTGATGAACAGGGAGGACCTCCACCGCCCTTCTTAAAGCATCTCCTTCATGTCGCGAGCCTGACGGGGTTAATACTGACCCCCCCACACACACACCCCAATTGGGCCCATAAATGCTGAGAAACTTTGGGAGGGGTTCAGGAGGGCCCCTTGTGCCAACCTCTATGCCTTCTCTCTCCAGGCTGGCACCATGAAACCCACAGTGACCGGGACCAACATACAGACAGGTATGTCTGGCCAATCCTTGCCAAGGGGGGAAAGTAGCAGAGTAAATGTCCCTCCCCCCCTCCTGCCCCCCTCCTGCCCCCCCCCCCCCCATTTCTGCTCACCCTGCCTCCCGAGTGACCTCGCCTTTGCTTCCAGCCACCGTGAGCGTCAACACCCTAACTGGCGTCCCGGCGACGACGTTTCAGCCCATCAACAAGCGATTGGCTTCACCCATCGTACCCGGCACGCTGGCGGTGAGTGGCTGTTGCTCGGAGCGGAACATGTGTAGGCGGTGTGATTTTTGCCCCAAAAATAAATGGCCGCCTTCTATTAAAATGGAGAGGGCAGGCTTTGGAGAAGAATCGTGGAGGGATTGTGGTTTGTTGCAACAGGCAGTCCAGGTGTTCAGACTGGGTTTGGCATTTTTGTCCATCTATCGAGTCCTTCCCCAAGGACCTGGGATAGGCAGATGTGGATGTGTTAAAGGTCTTCTCAATGCCTTGGTCAATGCCTCGGTCAATGTCAATGCCTCCTCTTTCTTCTCTCCTTCCTTCCTACTTTCCTTCTTCTCCTCCTTCCTCCTTCTTTCCTTCTTTCTTTCTCCTCCCTTCTTCTCTCCTTCCTTCCTTCTCCTCCTCCTCCTTCCTTCTTTCCTTCCTTCCTTCTTTCCCTCTCCTCCTCCTTCTCTCCTTCCTTCCTTCTCCTCCTCCTCTCCTTTCTTCCTTCTTTCCTCCTCCTCCTCTTCATCGTTGTTGTTGATGATGATATTATTATTATTATTATTATTATTATTATTATTATTATTATTATTA